ACCCCCTGTCCCACACCATGGCACTGCCCCCCATGGTACTACTGCTCCATGGCTCCACCCCCACCCCCCACACTCCTGGGGAATGGGCCCCGGGCACCACCCATGCCCCCCTCCCATGCAGCTCTGTCTCCTCCCTGGGGCCCAGCCCTGCCTGCCGGCTGGGACACCGCCCCACGTGGGCCTGCATCCGCTAAGGAGCCAGTTACAGCCCCGTGTCCTGCCTACGGGACGCTGAGCCCCTGCAACCTGCACATGGGACCCTAAACCCACCCCATAGAGTGGGCACTGACCGCTTGTGATCCCCACGGCCGGTACAAGAGGCACTAACTGTGATGATTCTTGGGGTACCAGGACTCTGAGACCCCCTTGGTACCCCTGCCCAGCAGCTACGCAGCTCCTGGCCCCACCAGCCTGACAGCTGCTCCTGCTCTCTCTGGGCTACAGCAACCCTGAGCTCGCCTTGCAGGGTAATGGTAGGTGCCCCCCAGTTCCCGCGTCGCTTTGCATTGCTCCCCTGTGCCATGCAGCCTCCCACTGGCTGCTCGTAGCCATCCCAGAGCCTCTGCCCCACAGGAGCCATGGGCCCCAGCGTTCCCGCAAACCAGGTGCTCTTGGAACAAATCATATGCAAGTTTATGGGAATGATGAGAAGTGATGGGAACACCTGGTTACAACCCAGAGCAAAGCTCCACCTATCTCTGTAGCACTCCGGTCTAGCTAACAGCAGGGTTCCCTGCCACGCCCAAGGCCCAGGAGCCAGATGTTCATGGAAGCCCCCTCCAGGGGTTCCCTCAATGACTGTGCACCGAGGGCCTCTGCTACCCTGAGACTCGATTGTCTTTGCTCCCCACCAGAGCGCTCTCCGGAGGGCTGGGCCACCTCCCACTGGCTGTGCTCAGCGGCACTGGTCTTTGCTGGTTTTCCAGCAACTGGGCTGGGCTGTGGCCAGGGCAAACTAGAATCCGGCATTACCTGGCTAATGAGGGTCGGGGGTCAGTGACCGCTTCACTGCTGGGACACCCCCGCCCCCGGTGGCTGAGTCGCACCCCGAGCCCCGCACGCACACTGGTTGTTGGCTCTGTGGGGCACATGGCGCACAAGGATTGTGACTCTTGACAAGTCAGGCGCCTCCTACAGATGCCTCTCATGTTCCTCCTTCTGGCAAAACGGCCAGTATGGCGTGTTTGGAGCAGTGAGTTTGTCAGGTCTGCAGTGAGAGCTGGTTGCAAAGACCAGCAGACCCTTTGGCAAGAAGCCTCTGGTGCACACTAACCCCGCCCCATGTCCCACATGTGGGGTGCCAGCCTCAACCCAGGGCACATCCGTGGGCCAGGGGTGCTGCGTTCCAGACCCAGTGAGGGGCCCAGGGCCCTGTGAGCTGAGCCCCTTCGTGCTCCAGCTCAGGCCCCTGGAGGAGATGAAGTCCCCTCTGTGGTGGGGGTTGGCCGTCTCTGACTCTCCTCCCCCCAACCAACACAGCGCTCCCCCTCCCTCCGAGGCAGAGGGGTTATGAGAAGCCAGCCAGCCAGCCACCCAGAGCCCTGGGCTGCAATTCAGGCCCCCAGTCCCCACCCAGCCTTCTCCCATGGCCAGAAGAAAACCCCAGGAGCCCTTTAGCCTCAAGCTGGCTGGTAGGGTCCTGGGAAGCTGCTTCCCCAGTGACATCCACCCAGCTGCCAAGGATGCAAAATCATCCCCAATTGCCCTGATGCCTGCATGGGTCAAAGAGGTCCAGGAACCTGGGTGTAGCCAGTGGCCATGCCCCCACCCAAGAATGCTGGCTCCATGCCCCATCCCTGCAGTGCTGTCAGCTCTCATCCTGTTTGAGGGTTTCCACTGAGCCCCAGCTTCTGGAATCCTGTGATTGCGGCAGGATCTTGGCGTCCCTAAGTCAGATTCTTGCCCTTTGCAGTCAGTGAGACAGGTTGTGGGGATGCAACCCCACGAAAGCTGCAGAGGCAGCAGGCAAATAAGCAGCCTCCGGCATTTTGCATGGTGAAAAACCTGGTTTTCAAGCTGATCTCAGTTGATGAACACTTGAGGTGGGATGGCGATGGCTGTGCTGACGCCACACCCATTGAGAGGGATGCTCTGAGGCAGTCTGGCCCAGCAGCAAGCACTCACTTGCGTGGGTGTGGGGTGAGTGAGCAGGAGCTTCCCCAGTTGCTCAAACTGTTTATTTGGTTCCAAAACCAACCCAACGTACCGCTGTATTTGTACAGCACCAGGCTCCTGCCCCAGGACTGCAGCTCGAGGGTGCTCCTGTAAGACACATAAACACATACCACGAATTGGAAGCCCACATGAAAAAGCACTCTGGCTTCGTGTCAGCAATTCCTGTTTTCACTAGGGTTACTTTTTCCTGTGAAAAAAATCCATGAGGCAAAAGTCCCATTTTCCCAGCTCCTCTAGGAACTGATGCTTTGGACCAACGTGGCTTTGGGGACTGGATTCTCTGCCGTTCCAGGCATCGCTCACTCTGAACACTCAGCACCGATCATGGGGCTCCCTGCAGGAGGCCTCTGGGCTGGGCCCTTCCTGCCCTAGCAGCCCTGAATCTAGCTGAGCTGCTGGAGGGGGCCACCTGGCTGGTCTTATTTGGGGGTCTGTGGCAAGGTGCGAGGCCCCAAGGAAAGGTCAGACATGCACTAAGGCCTCTCATGAGGCCAGAGTCCCAAATGATGGGCTAACCCTGCCTGCGCCCCACCTCCAGCCCCCCACCCAGGGGCCTTCCCTCCTCCTTCACCCACCCCGTTGAATGTGGCAGTTTTCCAAGGGATCCCTGATGAGGTTGGCTGGTTCTTGCCCCCACCCCCGCCGACCCCCGCAGCTGGCCCTGTCTGTCTCCACAGGGCCAGGTGGCTGCTGGGAACAAGGTCACACAGAGCAGGCTCGGGCAGGGTGCTCTGGGGAGCAAAGCTGGGGCTTCCACAACCCCCGAAATAAGTAAAGTCTCCATACCCCATTCATGTGGGGGAGGGGCAGGAGCAGGCTTCCCCACAGAACTGGACTGAGGGCCCCCCCCCAGTGGATCCAGCTGGGGACCAAGGGCTTTGGCTCAGTCTCCCCAGGCAGTACGTCTTGCAGGGGAACCCCAGCAATTCAGTACCAGACCCAAGAGGCATCAGGACCCGTGAGCCCCTGTGCCAGGACATTGCTCCAACCTGGACCTGGGAGCCGGTACTGCCCCACACTGGGTGAAGAGCGGAGCCTATGGGACAAATGCCAGCCCCTCCCATTCCAGCTGCCATCCCTTCCCTGCATCACTGCTCTCCCCTCAGCCCCCACACACCTGCCTCTCCTCAGACCTCTCCGAATCACAGCCCCCACAACCCAGACAACAAGGGCAGCTGCTGTCTGATCTGGGCACAGAAGCCCAATGAGGCAACCACAAGCTCTGCTGATGCCCTTCAACCCTCTACTAGCCCAGTCCTGGACTCCTGCCCACCTCCCCTGATCAGCTGGTGCCCCTCACTCCCGACTCGCAGTCCCTGTCAGCCCAGCCCTGCCCCCCCAGCTCTGCCGGTGCCCCTCACTCCCAACCCACAGCCCCCTGCAAGCCCAGCCCTGCCCCCCCCAGCTCTGCCAGTGCCCCTCCTGACCCCCACTTCTGATCTCCCATCTGCAGCGATTCTGGTTTATTGGCTCTCAGCTCTGTGGTGGTGGGGGGGATGGGGGGGGGACGGACACACCAGCTCCCAGGAGAGGAGGTGAAAAGCTCGGCCCAGGGGCTCTGTAGGAAATCACAGGGACCCTGTAGGAAATCACAGGGACCAGCACCTCCCCCTGGTGGTGGTGGGGGGATTGGGGGGGGGGACGGACACACCAGCTCCCAGGAGAGGAGGTGAAAAGCTCGGCCCAGGGGCTCTGTAGGAAATCACAGGGACCAGCACCTCCCCCTGGTGGTGGTGGGGGAGATGGGGGGGGACGGACACACCAGCTCCCAGGAGGGGAGGTGAAAAGCTCGGCCCAGGGGCTCTGTAGGAAATCACAGGGACCAGCACCTCCCCCTGGTGGCTCGATCAGCTCCCAGCACCCACCTCCCAGGTCAGCCTGGTCCTCCCTGGCCCCGAGTGCCGGGCGGGGGGACTCAGGTCCATTGTACCTGGAGCCAGTGCAGGGACAGAGGGGCTGCAGCTAGGAGCCAGCAGGGGCCTGCCCCCAATGTGAGCTGCGCAGCCCAGGGTGCGGGGGGGGGTGGGTGTTCTCCTTCACCTCCCCCATGGTAGCGCTAGGGGGCAGGCCCCACTGCGCCAGTCTGGGGCAGGGGTATCCCATGCTGTCCCCACAGGCGTCCCAGCTGTGGCAGGGGGGTCTCCCCACTGAGCTAAGCAACCAGCCCAGCTCTGGCCAGGGGTCAGCGCCACAGATTTGCACTGACCTTGCAGCACCCGCGGCAGGCACCCCCACAGCCAGGCTGCGGTGCCAAGCGGGCGGGACAAGGCCAGGTCTGCGGCCAGGGCAGAGGGGACTGCACACCGTCAGCAGCACCATGGGCTCTGGAGGCCGGGGGGAGGGGAGGACTGAGGGGTTTACCCTCCCCCCTTGCCTGTACTGCCATCATCCCCAGTGTGGCCCCGGCCCCAAAGCAGCTGGGGCTCAGCAGGTGTCTATCCTGTACCCTCATGGTCAGCGTGCTGGGGACTCTGGCCTGGGGGAGAGGTGTTAGCCCTCTCCCTTCCCAGCGCTGGCCCCGCTCCCTGCGGCCTCTGTCCTGGGAGGCACAGGGGAGTATTTATCCCCCAGGATCTCACTCCCATGCTGGATGCAGGAGGTGTCCCTTTAGCCTCTCCATGCCCCCTGTGGCTGCAACTCCCCCAGCAGTGGGGAGGCATTTACTCTTCCATAGTCACCCCACTCCTTTGCCAGCACCGTCCCCAGACCCGGTGGGGGGGGTGCTTCACACTCCCTTGGCGCTGGGGTGGCTGCTCCTGGGGGCGAGGCCAGTGCGGGCTGTGACGTTCCAGCCCCAGGGCACAGAAGAGACGGAGACACTGCCATTGCAGTCAAGCTTTTCTTTCCCTCTTTTTCTTTAAAAGGTGAACGAGGTTCGTACAAACGCCCAAAAAATTAACAAAAAACCAACAAACGGACCCCGGCCAACTAAAAACCAGGCAGGGCGGAGTCAGGGGGCTGGGGTGGGGCAGGGTGAGGGGCTGGGTCAGGGGAAGAGAGTCTAACTACTCCACAGTAGAAAAATAATTTTGAAAGGGGGTGAGGAGGGCGCGCCGTGGGGGGCGAGGGGCACTCTGTGCAGGGTGAGATCGGGCGGGGAGGAGAGAACAGATGGGGGCAGTGCACAGGCTGGGGGACATACGAGGGGACAGACATATATAGTATCTTCTCTTTAATTTACTGGGGGTCCGTAAGGTGCGGCCAGTCGAACGCGGGTGTCAGGGCCTGGCCTGTAGCCCTAGGCTGGCTCCGGGAGGTGTATAAATATGTTGCTTTGGGGTGGGAGGAGGACAGGGCCAGAAGGGGGCTGAACCCCCTGGGGTCAGAGGGAACACTGGGGGATGCATGAGGATACATTCGGAAACTCGATACATTCAGTGACAGCGTGTGGAGCCACAGGGGGAGGGACAGGCCCTCCTGGCCTGGAGAAGACCAGCCCCTTACACCCCTTAGCGCTCTAGAGGCCCTGACCTAGAGGGCTCTCTTGTAGTGTTTCAGTGCCCAGCCCCTCTGCCAGTGGGGGGCGACGTACCTTCCTGCCCCAATGGGCTCTGTACCGCTGAGGCCAACCTTGTGGGGAGGGGAGAGGCTCAATGATCACATGTAAGGTGGGGGGTTGGGAAGCTGGATTCAAGGGGGCTGGCCCCCCTCTCACGAGGTCTGGGGGTGTACAGTGGGGCTGGGGCACCCCTGCCACAGGGCCTGGGGGGAGCTCAGTGGGGCTGCCCCATCCCCAACATGGCTCAGACAAAGGAGTACTGGTTGTTGATGGCCCGGGCATGCCCCGTGTCTCCCTCTGGCTCCTCAGCCTGGAGCTGCAGGAGCCTCCCTGTGGCCCCATCTTCCAGGTCCCCTGTGCTGCCCCCTTCCTCTTCCTCCTGCGGCAGGGAGGGGTTGCCGGGGGCTGGGGCTTCGGGGATGAGCCAGGGGGGCTGCAGGGGCCCCCCCTCTGGAGCTGCGTGCCAGGATGGGGGTTGGGGGGGCAGGCTATGGGAGGTGCTCGGCTCTGTGGAGACAGACAGACAGACAGACAGGGTCAGGTGTTAGCTGATGCACCTGACACTGAAACCCCAGCCCCCACTCCCTGAGCAATAACAGGGTGACAGCCCCCCTTCCTCGCTCCCCCCCTCCCCCAACATCAGGGCCAGGGTCACAGGCTGCCATGGCCCAATGGGCCACCGGGAGGCCAGAAGCACCAGCCTGACAGACCTGGGACCCCTCTCCCCCAGCAGCTGCTGCCCCGCAACATCTGTAACGGCCCCCCGCCCGCAGGAGCTCTGGGGAATGGGGGTGAGCAGCGGCAGCTCACAGACACGCCCCCCCTCCCATCCCCATGGGTGGCATGATGGGCCATGGCGCACACAACAGACACTCACTCCCTCGGGGCCATGCCCCCCGGCGCGGCTCACACTTACAAACAGTCATTCGCGCCGATGGAGACGAGGCCGGGCGAGTCAGGGCTGCGCTGGGTCGGCTCACAGGCGGCGGCTCGGCTGCCCGCCCTGTCCCTGCCTGCAGGGGTTGGGGGCACGAGGGGGGGGAAGACAGAGACGCCCGTCAGATACGGGGACAGACAGACGGACGTGGGGGGGGAAAGACGGGGACAGTCGCCCGGCCTGGGGGGACAGACAAAGCACGGACGGATGGACAGACACAGGACAGGACAACTGCCAGATAGGGCTTGGACGACCCTCTCCCCCAACACATCTGCCCACTTCCCCCCCCACCCCCAAGACAGACCCATGCCCGCCTCCCCTCCGAACCATACACACACCGCACCTGCCTCCCTCCCCCCACAAGCCATACATGCACCACCCCCATCCCCAGCCATATGCACGCCGCACCCACCTCCCTCCCCCACCCCCACCTGGACCCACGCACTCCCACCTCCCCCCGAGCCAGACGCGTGAGCCCACCTCCCTCTGCCCCCCCCCCCCCAGACACGTGCACCTGCCTCCCTGAGCCAGACATGTGTGGTACCCATCCCCCCCCGGACACACGCCACCCCCCCACCCCTGCTGAGCCAGACCCACGCCCGCCTCCCTCCACACATTCCCCCAGCCCCAGATAGACACATGCCCTCCGCTCCAACCACAGGAGTGTGCTTCCTCACCCAGGCAGCAAGACACATGGGGAACACCCTTCCCCCGACAGACACTCTCCAGACAGCCAGATGGGAACCCCACGGCAGGGAGACGCAGCCACGCAGACAGACAGGCAGACAGACTGCTCCCCTCCCCACCAGATCCCACGGGGGAGCAGGCAGAGAGGGAGCCTCCAGCCACGCCTCCTCCAGCCAGTTATGAATGAGCCTCCGATGGAACTGCAGCTGCTGTGCCCTCCTGGGCGCCCAGCGCCACCCCCGCAGAGCCCTGGGCTGCCGCCTCCGCCTCCCCCCCGCGCAGCAGGGCCCCCCACTCTCACCATGCAGCCGCCGTGAGGCCACCACGTAGCTGACCAGGGTGACGTCACTGGAGCCGCCCGACTCCAGAGGGATGGGGTGCACTCGGAAGTGCTCCAGCATGTCGAAGATGGTCTGGAACCAGAGGTGCTGCACGCGGCACTGCCCGTCCTCGTTCAGTGACAGGCGCAGGTGCTGGCAGGGGGAAGGGAGAAGCGGGTGAGACCATGGCCACAGGCTCTGCAGCCCCAGGGCTCCTGGCCCTTCTCTGGGGATGGGTCCATGGGCTGGGGCGCTCACCTTGGCCTTGCCCTGGAAGTTGAAGGTCAGCACGTACTCCCCCCGCCGGGTCTCACTCTGCCGCACCAGGAAGACACCATGGCTGCTGGGGCCGCCAGCCAGGACCAGCTGGGCGGCCTTCAGCCGGGACAAGGTGCCATGGAACCAGGGGTACTCGGAGAGGGGATGCTCTGGGTCGCCTCCCCCGGGGTCCGGCTCCCCCTGGAACAGGAACGAGCCTGACACAGGAAAGGGGAGTGAAACAGCACATGGGGGGCACGCCTCTGGCATGCCCCCCCCAACCTGCTCCCCACTCGGACCCTGTCCCCAGGACGCCCCCCCCCACCTTCTCCCCACTCGGCCCCGTCCCCCTCCCCAACCTCCTCCCCACTTGGCCATCATCCCTAGCATGTCCCCCTGACCTGCTCCCCACTCGGCCCCATCCCCGGCACGTCACCCCGACCTCCTCCCCACTTGGCCACCGTCCCTGGCACATCCCCTTGACCTGCTCCCCACTCGGCCACCGTCCCTGGCACATCCCCCTGACCTGCTCCCCACTCGGCCCCATCCCCGGCACGTCCCCCGCAACCTGTTCCCCACTTGACCCTGTCCCGTCCCCCCGATCTCCTCCCCACTTGGCCACCGTCCCCAGCAGGGCCCCCCAGACCCATTCTCCCCTCCCCTGAACACACCCCCACCAGACCCAGTACACGCCCCCAGCATGCCCCTCCTACAGACCCGGTTATCCCCAGCCCCCGAAGCACACCCCCCACCAGAGACCTCCCCCACACCCCTTTCCCAATTACACCTTTGCTTCCCACAAAATCTCTTTTCCAGTCTGGGTCCCGCTCTTGCCACACAGCACCTGGAAACACCCCCATCTCTGGCTACATGGTCCCCCTGAACTCCCCATTCCTCCTCCCCCAGTGCCACCCCCACAGACTCCTCTGCTCCGTACCTGTGGCGTCGGGAGTGTCGGGGAAGGGCGTGTGCAGCAGGCCAGGGGGGTAGGGACCCTGCAGCCGCTCAGCTGCCTCATCGATGGGGACCCGGGGGGGGCAGCTCGGGAGGCAGCAGCTCCATGGAGTTGAAGTGGGAAGCAGCGATGGAGACAGAGCTGGGGGAGATGGAAGCTGAGGGGCGCTCAGACAGACCCCCATATGCACCTGGTGGGATAGATACCAGATGAAGTTACCAATCTCCACAGAGCTGGGGGCGCTGGGACAGACCCAGTTTAGGGTTGGCTCATGCTGAGGCCATCCCACGCTGTGTGGCTCATGCTCCCTCCTCAGCAGGTCCAGCTGGTCTGGTTTTCTCTGGAAGCATCCAATTTCTGAATGCAGTGGGATCCAGTGGCAGGCAGTTCCACTGGCCCAGGGCAGCACATTCCCTGGATCCACCACTCCCCATGTACCCATCTCAGTTCCCTCTTCTCTCCAACTGTTATTGTCTACCCTGTCTCCTCTCTATAGTCACTGCCATCCCTGCAAACCCTGCCCCTGAATAAGACACTTTCAGCCCATGGCTGCTTCAAGATCCCCTGGGCCCACAGCTTTGGCTGTGCTGGGGTCACTGCACTCAGCAAAACAGCTGTAAACAAGAGAAGCAGGGGATGGAAGAGGAGTCAGGAGCCAAGTGTGAGGAGGAGGAACCAGGCACAGGGGAGAAGGGAGCTGGATATGGAGAGAGGGACTACGTAGCTAGCGTGGCAGGTGTAGGGGAGAAGACGGCTGAGGGAGTTGGTCTAGAGGAAGGGCTGGGGGGACCAGCTATGGGGTGCTGGTATCCGGGGGGGAAGCAGCTACAGGGCACTGGTACCTGGGGGCAGGGCGGGAAGCAGGGTTTGGGGGCCAGCTATGGGGTGCTGGTATGGCAGGTTGTCACAAAGTGACAATTTTTTGTAATATTTTTATAAAGGCTGTGTGTGCCAGAGTTTCCCTCCAGTGCTGCATTGTCGCTCAGTGGGGAGAACAGGTCGGTGTGCTCTTGCCAGGCTAGGACACAGGTATGAATGTCGCCTAGCTGTCTGGACTCTCAGGTCCCATATCAATGGAGCTCTTCAGAAGACAATGACAAATCCAATACCTAGCAACCAATGACCCAGAGACATACCGACTTCCCTGCTGTGACTCCCTGTGCCCCATGGTCACCACTTTTATATGGTTGTGATATATTTGGTACAAAGTGTGCCTTCTGAGGTGTCATTTGAAAACTCACAATCTGCTGAACATCATTGCCCTGTTGAAACGTGTGTAACAATGCTTCATGTCAAATTATGAGGTTTTACTGTATGATTGTTAGTGAAATAGGTTGTGATTCTGGGTAACCCCCATAAGCCAATTTCTCAGAGACAAAGGCAGACTGGCACGCCAGCTACGTGCTAAAAGATCATTGCCTGCTTAAGCAGAGATTCACCAGCAGGGGACTTGTAAACAGGAAATTTACAATTGTACGCCATGGAACTGCCTGCCCCCATGACCCAGCAAGGGCTTGTCCAGCACAGAAGGGCTGGGGCATCAAAGGGGGAGAAATGCCACTAGCCACCTCACCTCTCCTCTCCTCCTTACAGCTCTCTGCTCATAACATCAATGAATACCTGAGGGATACTGAACTAAGGGGAGTGGTCCCAGGCTGAAAGGAGAGAGAGCCTGTAAACTGAGAATTGCCTGCAGCATCTGGCGTGGAGAGAATGATGTTTGCTTCAAATCTTATTGAGCTAAGTAAAGTTTAGGAATTAGCTAATGGTTTTATCTTTTTTTTTTTGGTACCCAATTCTGACTGTTATGCCTTTTCCCTTATCACTTAACCGGGTCTTTCTCCAGTTAATAAACTCGGTTTATTATTTTCTCTAAACCAGCTGGTTTGATTGAAGTGTTTAAGAAATCTCTACTTAAGATAACAAAGACTGGTGCATAAACAGGTTTCAGAGTAGCAGCTGTGTTAGTCTGTATCCACAAAAAGAAAAGGAGTATTTGTGGCACCTTAGAGACTCGATTACAGACCTGAAAGTGGCAAGTCTTCAACAACAAAAACTTCAAAAACAGACTCCAAGGAGAGACTGCTGAATTGGAATTAATTTGCAAACTGGATACAATTAACTTAGGCTTGAATAGAGACTGGGAGTGGATGGGTCATTATACAAAGTAAAACTATTTCCCCTTGTTTATTCCCCCGCCCCCATTCTTGTCAACTGCTGGAAATGGTCCACCTTGATCATCACTACAAAAGGTCCCGTCCCCGCACCCAGCTCTCCTGCTGGTAATAGCTCACCTTACCTGATCACTCTCATTACAGTCTGTATGGTAACACCCCTTGTTTCATGTTCTCTGTGTATATAAATCTCCCCACTATTCAGTATTTTCCACTGAATGCATCCGATGAAGTGAGCTGTAGCTCAAGAAGGCTTATGCTCAAATTCATTTGTTAGTCTCTAAGATGCCACAAGTCCTCCTCCTCTTTTGGTGCATAAACGTTACCGTTTGTTGGGATGTCCAACTATCTATGAGCTTGTACTGTCCAGTGGGCTACTGAGCAGTGTAAGACGCACATTTATGGGGGAGCCAGAGCTGGGACAGGGGATATGCGGGTGCCGCCCTGTATCGACTCATGGCTGGCTGGAAGAGCATTCACGTAAGCAGCTGGGATTGGTTTTCCATGCTAGTAGCTGCAGGTCAGCAGGCTGCTCCGACAGTACAGCGGTGTCCAAGGCACCCCAGGCTGGAGAGCTAAGGGGACACAGCAATCCGGTCCAGGGAATGCCAAACCCACCTCTTAGCAGGGGGCTGAGCTGCATTTCCCCAGCTGGAAAACAAAGGACTGAGGGGAGAGGGGGGAAGGGAGGCTAAGTACCCTGACTGCCTCTAGCAGACCACACCCTGGGAGCCTGACAAAGAAGATCAGAAAGACGGGGAGAGAGCCTGACCCAAGGGGTTCCCCACAGCCTGGCAGGGCTCTGGGCTGAGCAGAATGGACTGGGCTGTAACCTGCACCCCTCTGCGCGACCCTAAGGGCTCCCCGTGCCTTGCCCAGCTGTCTAACACACCTGACTGTGCGCCAGTGTTGAGGGACTGTCCCTGCCATGCTGGGCGAGGGCACCGTCCCGGCAGCGTGGGCACGTCTCTGCCAGGGTCTGGCTCAGCGGGACTCACTGGGCAGAGCTCACGGGGGAAGCAGGAGGCTGCAGCCCAGAGGTCAAGTCTAAGCAGGCGGTGAAGCCACATGGTTTATCCAGGAAGAAGAGAGACCCCAGGGGTCTGGCTCACTGAAGAAGTCCTCCGAGAGACTGTTCCAAAGCTGGGGCCATAGCACCAATCCTGTGGATCTGTGACAGAGCCAGAGAGGGCTGGGAGCATGCCATCCACCTATGGGGTGCTGGTATGGAAGGAGGCAGGGCTCAGGAGGGTACAGGGTAAACAAGTGTTGGGCGGCTGGCTACAGACCTCTGGTAAAGGGGGATGCAGGGCAGGGGGGGCCAGCTATGGGGTGCTGGTTGGTGGGGGAGATGAGGCACGGCTGGGGAGGGCATGGGGTAGAGAGGTTGGGGATTTGGTTATGGGGGAAGATGGCTTAGGGGGTGGTACGGGGAGCTGGCAGGACTGGCACATGAGGGGGGCAGTGGCAGGGCAGGTCTCTGCTGACACTCACCCTGGGAGAGCTGCTCGCTGCTCTCACTGGGCACCATGGGCAGCTCCCGACTCGGCATGCTCTCCGAGTGGTTGAGACAGGGCAGGTCCGTGCTGTCCGCGTTCTCCCTGCAGGGACACTGGCATGATTCACAGGTAAAGGACACCCCCACCCCCACCCTGGGAGATGCTGCCTGGCTCCCCCTCCTAGGAATGGGAATCTGGACCTTGCACTGAGCGCAGTCCCGGGGCAGGGAGCCAGGGCAATGCAGGGGGCAGAGGAGTTGGCGGCACAGGGGGGTCCCACAGCAAGGCGAAGGGGACCTGGAGCCCTGGTGCCATGAGGGGGAGATGTCAGAGCTGGGGTCGGGGCCGGACACTGGCTCACTCACCCCAGGCTCATGCAGTCCTGGATGTCGGCCAGCCACGACCTCATCTGCAGCGAATCGACCGTCTCCAGGATGTACTCAAGAGAGTTCTCCATCTGCCAGGTACACCGGGTCAGCACCAGTGCACCAGGCACCCCTTTCCCTGCCCCTCGTGGTGCTCCTCTCTCCACCCTTCCAGCATCCGAATCCCCCAGCCCCATGGCACCCCTCTTCTGCCACTCCAGCCTCAGATGCTCCCACCCCACTCCTCCCCTCCCCAACCAGTATGGCACCCCCAAGACATCTCCCAAACTGCCCCTGTATATGCCTGTGGGGCCACCCCCAACCTCCTTACACCCCTCCCCCACAGAACATCTCCACAGCCTGGCCCCACAGCTGGGGCTTCCTGCTCAGACCCTCATCACTGGGGGATGGTCCCCTGCGACCCCACTGCGGGGGCGGGCGGGCACAGCCCTCAGACGGCTCCACCTGCTCCGCCCCAGCCCTGTGCCTAACTCACAACAGCAGCAGCTGTGCAAAGAAGGGGTGTGCGCTGATTCTCTCCCCCCCACACCTGTGAGCAATTCCCCCCCACAGCCCCTCCCAGTCCCCCGCACCCACCTTTAAGACAAAGGTGTTTTCCTTGTCAGGCATCTCCAGCGGTGTGGTGGTGCGCACGTCTGTCACAGCTGAGCAGAGGATGCTGACCCGGGCCTTGGTGGACTGAGGGCAGGTGAGAGACAGCGAGGTGAGATGGGACCCACAATCAACCCAGCCCTGGGCCAGGCCATTCGTCCCCTCCCCACACAGGGCTGCGACAGGCCAAGTGCGATGGGACGGGGGTCATTACTGATCTGTTACACTGAGGGTGCAGCCCAGGGAAGGGACTTTGCCAAGACTGCACAGCCAGATCAGGAACCCAGGAGTCCAACCTGACTCTCCTACCCCCACTCTACCCCAGTGGTTCTCAAACAGGGGTGTGTGTACCTCTGGGGATACACAGAGATCTTCCAGGGGCACATCAACTCATCTAGACATTCGCCTAGTTTTACAACAGGCTACATAAAAAGCACTAGCGAAGTCAGTACAAACTAGGGGTGTCAATTAATTGCACTTAATTCAAGCAATTAATGCAAAATAAATTAATTAAAACAATTAATTGTGATTAATCACAGTTTTAATTGCATTGTTAAAGAATAACAGATTATTATTAATAAACGAATATTTATTATACATATTTTGGATATTTTTCTACCTTTTCAAATAAATTGATTTCAATTACAACACAGAACACAAAGTGTGCACTGCTCACTTTATATATTTTAGTACAAATATTTGCACTGTAAAAAACCAAAGAGTATTTTTAATTCATCTCATACAAGTACTGTAGTGCAATCTCTAACGTGAAAGTGCAACTGACAAATGTAGATTGTTACATAACTGCACTCAAAAACAAAACAAGTTCAATCCTTAAGGGGGCCATTTAGGCATCATGGGGCAAAAATTGGGGATTGGTCCTGCTTGGAGCAGGAGGTTGGACTAGATGACCTCCTGAGGTCCCTTCCAACCCTGATATTCTATGATTCAGAGCCTACAAGTCCACTCAGTCCTACTTCTTGTTCAGCCAATTGCTAAGACAAACAAGTTTGTTTACATTTACAGGAGATAATGCTGCCCTCTTCTTATTTACAGTGTCACCAGACAGCAAGAACAGGCATTCACATGGCACTTTTGTAGCTGGCATTGCAAGGTATTTACGTGCCAGATATGCTAGACGTTCGTATTCCCCTTCATGCTTTGGTCACCATTCCAGAGGACATGGTTCCATACTGACGATGCTCGTTCAAAAAATAATGCATTAATTAAATTTCACTGAATTCCTTGGGGGAGAATTGTATGTCTCCTGCTCTGTGGTTTTACCTGTGTTCTGCCATATACTTAATGTTATAGCAGTCTTGGATGATGACCCAGCACATGTTGTTCATTTTAAGAACACTTTCACTGAAGATGTGACAAAACGCAAAGAAGGTACCAATGTGAGATTTCTAAAGATAGCTGCAGCACTTGATACAAGATTTAAGAACCTGAAGTGCCTTCCAAAATCTTAGAGGGACGAGGCATGGAGCATGCTTTCGGAAGCCTTAAAAGAGCAACACTCCGATTTGGAAACTACAGAACCTGAACTATTCCCCCCCGCCAAAAATCATCCTTCTGTTGGTGGCATCTGACTCAGATGATGAAAATGAACGTGCGTTGGTCTGCACTGCTTTGGATCGTTATCAAGGAGAACCCATCATCAGCATGGAAGCGTGCTCTTTAGAACGGTGGCCGAAGCATGAAGGGGCATACACATGTTTAGCATACATAGCATGTAAATACCTTGCAACACCAGCAACAACAGTGCCATGTGAATGCCTGTTCTCACTTTCACGACATTGTACATAAGAAGTGGGCAAAATTATCTCCCGTAAACGTAAACAAACTTGTTTCTCTTAGCGATTGGCTGAACAAGAAGTAGTGGACTTGTAGGTGCTAAAGTTTCACATTGCTTTATTTTTGAGTGCACTTATGTACCAAAAAACCAAAACAAAACCATTCTACATTTATAAGTCGTCCCTCTGCGATAAAGAGATTGCACAAGACTTGTATGAAGTGAATTAAAAAATACTCTTTTGTTTATCTTTTTTTACAGTACAAATATTTGCAATAAAAATAATATATCAAGTGAACACTATCCATTTTGTATTCTATGTTGTAACTGAAGTCAATGTATTTGAAAATGTAGAAAACATCCCAAGATATTTAAATGGTATTTTATTATTGTTTAGCAGTGCGATTAAAATGGCAATTAGTCATGATTAATTTTTAAACTCACAATTAATTGCAATTTTAAAAATCATTTGACAGCCCTAGTACAAACTAAAATTTCATACACCCAATTATGTGTTTATACTGCTCTATGCACTATACACTGAAATGTAAGTACAATATTTATATTCCAACTGATTTATTTTATAATTACATTGTAAAAATGAGAAAATCAGCCATTGTCCAGTACTAGTGTGCTGGGGGACACTTGTATTTTTATGTCTGATTTTGGAACCCGGTAGTTTTTACGAGAGATAAAACTTGGGGTACACAAGACAAATCAGACTCCTGAAAGGGGTACAGTAGTCTGGAAAGGTTAAGAGCCACTGCTGTACCTTGTTAAACCCCCACTCTCCTCCCAAAGCCAGGCAAGGTACCCAGAAGCCCTGACTACAGAACACCTTTCATTCCACCTTGTCTCTCACAGCACGCACAGCTCTAGCAATGGTCCTCAATCCTGAACCGCAGCTCTCTGCCACCCCAGACCTGAGGGTCTTCCCCCTGCAGGCAATCCTTACCAGCAGCCCCCCATGAGGAATCCCATCAGGTGGGTGGCTGCCCCCCAGGATGGGGCACAACTCCCACTGCCCCCTCACCTTGGGGGGGATGTAGAACTCCAGCAGGTAGCCCTCGCCCTCTCCCTTGCCTGCCTTCCGCAGCAGCAGCCGGCATTTCTGCCATCGGGCCCGGCTGCCACCCCCCCCTCCGCTGTCATCGGCCACAATATAATTGAGCAGCCCCTCCCGGCGCACACTGGACAGTTCCACTTTGGGGGCAGGCGCCTTGCTGAGCCGCAGCCTCTCAAACTTGTGTGTCCAGCGCTCGGTGGGCAAGGAGTCCGCTGCCCCACCCCCTGAGGAGTTGGAATTGGTGTTGGCCCCGCCAGCCTCCTCCTCAGTGGGGGACTCAGCTGAGCTCTTCCACTGCAGAATGCCTCGCATGCTGCCCCGCACGCTGCGGCTGACGTTGCGCAGGGAGAAACGCTTTTTGAGCTTAGGCTTTGTGCTGGCAGTCGCGGCAGAGGCGGAGACGTCCTCGGAGCTACGAGACTGGCTGCTGGACAGCCCCGAGGCCAGGCCGGGCTGCGGCTCCACTGGAGAGGCCACCGAGGAGTCGCTGCAGGTCTCTGAGAGGTCACGGGTGGAGGAGGAGGAAGCGCCCCCAGGGCAATGGTGGGCTCCAGTGAAGGGAGCGATGTCGCAGCGGGGGGGTGAGTCGCCGGCACAGGCCCGGCTCACCTCGGCCTCAAAGTGCTCCACGAAGTGCTCCGCGAAGCGGCGGGAGAAGGCAGCCTCGGCCCCCGGTGCTGCAAACTGGGGGTTCTCGCTCAGGAAGGCGCGGAAGCGCCGTGCAAAGTCCAAGGCGGCTGCCCGGGCATGGGCCTCGCAGAAATCCCGCCAGCCGGGCGAGGGCAGCGGTGCCGCCGCCTCCACCACCCCCGGTGGCGCCACGCTGCCGTTCATGCTGCTGCCGCTGTCCAGGAGACAGGAGCCCCAGGAGGGGCTGGGCGCCAGGATCCTGACCACCAGGAGGCTGCTGCTGCTGCTGCTACTGTCGTGCTCACCTGGGAGAGTGGGGGAGACAGAGAGTGAGAAGACAAGCAGGGAAGAAACCCAGGGAATGCAGCACTGTGGGGTGAACCCAGAGGCCAGGGGAGCAGAGCTCCAGATGGGACTTTGGGGGTGTGCCAGGAAGCGCTGGGTAAAGGGGGCACAGCTCCAGAGAGAGAGAGAGAGAAGAAATAGCACCAGGACACACCACATGGCCAGGAAACTGAGCAAAGGTGACAGAAGATCCTCTGGGGGTGGAACTCTAGGGTGGGAAGAGGGCCCAGCGCAGAGACCTTGAGATGGGGGATGGGAAGGGGCTGGGGAGAGCCCCTAGAGATACCCTGGGGAGCATAGTGCTGGGCTATGGGAGTACGTGGGAGGGCACTGTACCCAGACCACTGCACCAAGGGGGCATGAACCCCAGGAGGGGAAGATGGGCTGGGGGATTCCCCTGGGAAGAAGGTGCAATGAAAGGAGAAGCCAAGGGCAAGGAGGTGCCTAGGGGAGTTGGTGGGGAGATGCCCAGGTGGCAAGAGGGAGAAGGTGGCCACAGGGTGTAATACTGGAGAGTATTGGGAGGCACAGCGCCATGGGAAGGAAAAGGGCTGTGGAGAGGGGTAGAATCATTCTGTCTCCACCTTTCCCCTTATGCCGAGGTTTAGCCTCCCTCTCAGCACACCTCAGTTGCCCCAAATCTCCTTCCTTCAAGCTCCTGCCCCAGCCAGGCCCCCACCCCCAAACCTCCCTCCTCTGGGCTCATGCCCCAGCCAGGCCCCCAGCTCCAGAGTTTTTCCTGGAAATTGAAATTAGGTGAGGGCGTTTGAATTTACAGGGGAGTGAGGGCTGACGAGAGGTGAGACCATGCAGGTGAAGGTGGGTTGTATGGCACCACAGTAAAAACTGAAAATGTTTCACAACTATTTTATTTATCATGATACAAATTAAAGTTGGCTACTCAAGCCTACTATGAAGCATGACTTCTACATCCTTCTTGGTTTCGTCTTGTAACTTTGCACAACTCTGTTAATGAGCTTCTCAAATGCACTGCGTTCACTTTCGGTGGCTTCTCATGTGTCCGGTACTTCCAGTCCTTCAGGATATGTTCATGATCATGCAGAAGGCGACTCCTTTCAGAACACAAAATTCTATTCAATGAGGAAAAAGAACACTCAACTGTAGCTGTTGAGACTGGGAGTAGCAAGAGATGTATTCCTACTTTTTTCATCCCAGGAAACATAGCACAAATATTGGGTCGAACCACTAGTGATGATAAAGAAAAAGCTAAAGTCAAATTTTTGTTCGTTCATCGTATGATATTCCACTCTGTGTTCAAATTCTCTACTCTGTCATGATCACATGGCAGCCCCATTGCTGGTAGTGTCTCACTTCACTCAACGGTCGGTGTTTTATAAGACAGGCATCTGTAAAAGCTACATGGAGGTTGAGTAGAATCCAGAAGTTGCTGTTGCAGATTTGTAAGAATCAAGTCTGTGTACTTTTTCAGCTGTCTTAACAAACATTTCTTATATTGAATCCTTAAGTGAAGAAGACAAGTGCCTTCATTAGTCAACTTCTGGACGGAAGTCTTTGCTTCTTCCAGTACATTTTGAATGGCTCTCTTTTTGATTGATCCAAGTGTAGCATCTAGTGCTGGATGAAGATTTACTACTGTTGCAACAGATGCCTGGATGGCATTGTTTAATGACCCAAGTGGTTTCAACAGTAGACTTACAAGACAGAAAATGATGATAGTCTTCTGTAAACTTAGTAGCAAAAGTTGTCCACCAGCCTCACTACTTAGATCTGTCCCACCTCGGTAGATACTTTCCAAAGCCAGTAACAATGGTTGCAGTAATTTTAAGACAACAGCCAAGGATCGCTCATGAGAAAGCCAGCGGGTTTTCCCAGGTTGGACTAATTTTAACTTCAGTCCCATTGTATCGTCTGTATTTTTTCCAAGACATTTAGTCCTTTTGGACTCTTGCTGAAAAAAAAAAAAGAGTATACTAAAGACATTAAATTGATGGCTTTTTAAAATCTTTTGAAGATTCTGCAGCTCATACTAGTGCTAGTCGGAAAAGATGATCTCTGCAGCATGTCTAGGAGAGATTAGGGTTATACTTCTCTCTGAGCAAAGCTTGTACTCTGCTATGCCTTCCAGAGAAGTTTGCAGCTCCATCAAATGCCCAAGCAGCCATCTCCTTGGGGTTCAATTTACAAGCAATTAACTCTTCTGCGATGTGGGTTGTCAGAGACACAGCTGATGTGTCCTCTATAACCTGAACATCTAAAAATGCATTTATTGGCCTACTACTGACATGAAGATAATCACAATGACTTAATACTTCATGCCCACATGCATCGGTTCATTCACCAGCCATCAATCCACATTTTCTGAAAGCAGTGAGAGTTCTTCACTTTTTCAGCTGCTCAACCTTTCACTGCTCCATCACATGCATCTAACCAGTTAGTTGAGTTTCTTGCAGAAAGATAGCAAACATTTGCTGGTCTTGTTCGGAACCAGTGTCCAACTTCAAGATTAACAACAGAAAGTGAACTTAACATTGGTCTCCTGTTTGCAGGGTGTGGTATCTCTTGCTTAAATAGAAAGTATGATTGTTGCGACAGCCACATTTGTTCTCAAAACTGTGTTGCGTCTCCAGCATTCTTAAAAGCCTCATTAAGTTCTTCTAAAATTGGCTTTGATAGTGACTGGCTTACAAGGCTTTCTGCACGTCGATGCAGTCCAGAGGCTTGGTGTTTTGCAGCCTTTTCATGTAGATTGTCAGCACTGGCTTTGCTGATCGGTTTGGCAAACCAAGCTCCTCCACTTTTAGTATAAAAATCCACGGTATGCTCACATCTTGAATAGTGCGTGCAGTTCTGGTCGCCCCATGTCAAAAAAGATATCTTGGAATTGGAAAAGGTACAGAGAAGAACTGAAATAATTAGGGGTATGGAATAGATTCCATATGAGGAGAGATTAATAAGACTGGGACTTTTCAGCTTGGAAAAGAGATGACAAAGTGGATATGATAGAGGTCTAATCTTGACTGGTGTGGAGAAAGTGAACAAGAAAATGTTATTTACTCCTTCACATAACACAAGACCTAGGGGTCACCCAATTACATTAATAGGCATCAGGTTTAAAAACAAACAAACAAGGAAGTATTTCTTCACACAACGCACAGTCAACCTTTCAAACTCTTCGCCAGAGGATGATGTGAAGGTCAAAACGATAACGGGGTTCAAAAAAGAACTAGATAAGTTCCTAGAGAACAAGTCAATCAATGGCTATTAGCCAGGATGGGCAGGAATGCAACACCATGCTCTGAGTGTCCCCAGTCTATGCATGCCAGAAGCTGGGAGTGGATGACAGGGGATGGATCACTGGATGATTACTTGTTCAGTTCATTCCCTCTGGGGCACCTGACATCGGTGACTGTCAGAAGACAAAAAGAAAAGGAGTACTTGTGGCACCTTAGAGACTAACCAATTTATTTGAGCATGAGCTTTCGTGAGCTACAGCTCACTTCATCGGATGCATACCGTGGAAACTGCAGCAGACTTTATATACACACAGAGAATATGAAACAATACCTCCTCCCACCCCACTGTCCTGCTGGTAATAGCTTATCTAAAGTGATCATCAGGTGGGCTGTTACTCTGAAACCTGTCAGAAGACAGGATACTGGGCTAGATGGACAATTGGTCTGACCCAGTATGACCGTTCTTATGTAAAAACTAATTATAACATAACAATACAAATGTTTAGGACTGAAACTCTCCAATATAGTAATCTCTCGAGATAGCAACAATGAGAGATAATTACCCTGGCAAATAATGCACTTTAAAAATCTTGGCCTACTAGGAAATGTATATTTATATTCGTTTCCCAGTCACAAATCTAGCATTTGGGAGCAAAGTCACTAAAACGTAGTTCAACAAACAAATGTTCCTTTAATGTACCCCTCCCTTCACCACACCCCATTCATAGCTGTTGTCCTTGGTCAGTGGAGACCCAGAGTTCAGAGGTGCTTTCGTGTGAGTTCACCTCCCACCCTGCGAGGAGGTGAGAACGCACCGTGCTCGTTCCTCCAGCCACTGCCAATGGCCCTGTGCCTTCACCTTCTGCTGCCACCTGCCACTGTGACCTCTGCAAATCGGTCTCTTGAGGTTCCGCAGCTCTCAGTGGGGAACCTCACTGCTAGTGCAGGCTGGGCACGGTCTTCCACAGAAATGTTGTCCTGCAGCAAGTCTAAGCCCTTAGGCCTGATTATCAGTGACTTCAGCTCTAGTGGTCACTTAAAAGAACAAAAGACTACAGAGCCTAATCTGCTCTATTCTTAAACCAGGGAGACGGACAGGTCAAATGGCGCCTGTGACTCTTAGGCAGAATTGACACCACCAAGCAAAACACCTGTCCCCCATCCTTTCTCTACACTGGGATCCGGCATCCAAACCCCCTGCTTACCGACTGCAGTTCAGTTGATGGTGAGCAATGCTTAATTTTTAATGAACCAGGTGCTGGGGTTCCAACAATTAAGTGCCAGGGCTCCAGCAAGTTTTTTACATTAATCATTGATGTGGCAAGCCCAGAGGTCCTGAGGCTATGAACTGCCAAGTCTAGAGGTGCCAGGGCTCAGCCCTGGCACAAAATTAAGCACTGAGGGTAACCCCCTCAATCAGGACAGGCTAAGCACAGTTCTGCTGCCCTTTACTCCTGCAGTAACAAAATTTAATGACTCCTGCATTCAATACTAAAGTGATTTGTAACCCAACACCAGACAAACTGGACCACTCGGGCAGCACAGCTCTGTCTGCTGGATACCTAGGCAGGGTGTGTTCATGTAAATACAATTTGGGCCTGAAGTCTTTTCCTCTCACCAGCTCATCACCAGCTGTCGGAAGGAGCTCGCTCACACCTCGCTTACAAATCACAATTGAAAATTCTTAGGCTGGCCAACGGTGCGCCAGCACTGCCGTAGCAAACCGCCGCCAGGGGAGGGAGCTGCTCTTTATCCCCACCCGTCCGGCTGTCGCCCCGCGCGCGGCTGTTCCCATTTCAAGCCAAGGCGCCAGGCGGGGACGGATCGGGCCGCGCGGCGCGGCGCGGAGGGCGCGGAGCGCGCGGGGGGAGGGGGTGTCTCTGTCCAGCTCCAGCCGCACCAAGCCGGGGGGAGTGCGGGGCGTGGCCTAACGGGAGCCCGGGCGGGGCTGCGGGGGCGGGGCCGATTCTCACCATCCCGCCCGGCGGCTCCGGCTCCGGCTCCTCCCGGGTCTCGGCAACGGCAGCTTCCCAGTCAGTCTCCGTTACAGCGAAGAGGGGACAGGGCCTGGTATCGTCACTTCCGCTTCCGGGAGCTCCGTCCCTTCGTCGCACGCCTAGGCTTCCGCTTCCGGGAAGTAACCGGAAACCCCATCCCACAGGGAGCGGGACCAGAGCGGCTGCTCAACAAGAGCACCATAGAGAGGAGGAGGTTAAGGGCTAGAGCGACTCATGCTGCGGGCATAAACCATAGACGGTAGTTGGACTGAGGCTAGAGCGGCGTCCGCTAGCCCCGATACCACAGCGGGGCTGAGTCCGCCTGCCTAGAATGACTCCAGCGGGGCAGTTACCATAGAGAGGAGACTCGTTCGCTAGAGCGACAACCGCGGGTGGCAAATATAGAGCGGTAGCGGGGCTACGCCAGAGCGCCTCCCATGGGCGATCCGTACCATAGAGATGAGTGGCTAGAGGGACGAGAACTGTACCATGAAGGCAGGGAAGTCGGGCTAGAAGGAATCTCACGAACAGGGTGAGAGCGGCTGCTCCCCACAAACCTGAATGGAACAGTGCCTGCCATAGAGCCTGCCCACGCGGGGACAGAGCGCCGCGCGCTGCTAGCGCGTCCCCTGCGGGAGCGACTGCCCGCCGCGCCATGGGGGAGGGGCAGGGAACGGGCCTCAACCCAGCCCCGCCCCCTGCCTCACCACTGCCCACCCCCATCCTCCTCTGTCTCCGTCCTTGCCCGGCTGCCTCACCCCCCTGCAGCTCCCACCCCGGTGTCCACTGGCACCTTAAAGACTAAGCCATTTATTTGGGCATCAGCTTTCGTGGGTATCTGAAGAAGGGGGGGTTACCCACGAAAGCTGATGCCCAAATAAATGGCTTAGTCTTTAAGGTGCCAGCGGACTCCTTGTTGTTTTTGTGGATACAGACTAACACGGCTACCCCCGATACTTCAGACCCAAAAGGCCCCCTACCCCCATTACAGTGCGGCTCCAAACAGATTAGTACGGGCCAGGGGAGTTCGCAGCTCAGAGCGATGGGCTCAGGCTCTCTGCAGACTCAGGGCAGTGGTGCTGTGTTAGTCAAGCTTGTGGCAGCTCCTCCCTCTCCCAGGGGTGGACTCAAGCAGCATTGGTTACCCTCAGATTGTTTTTGGAAGGTTATCGCTACAGCCATGAGGCTTAGCCACTTACTCTTTAAATGCAAGCTGAGGGTCAGGAGTATCTGAATACACCTGTGGGCCCCATACAAATGCCTCATGGGGCCTGCATGTTTGTCACACCTGTTGTCATTTTCAGCTGGAGAGGTGTGCTCAGTTGGTTTGCAGCTCCATGTTGCTAAAGCTTTGGATTGAGTTGGTTTTGGGGTGGCTGTCTTGATTTAGGTGCGCCGGAAACTGTGTCCGATTTGTGTCTTAATTGTAGCAGAAGCCATCCAGACTTGATTTAAATACTTCAAGGAATGGAGAATCCAGCCCATCCTTAAAAACTTGTGCCTTACTTCCCATATGAATGTGTCTCACTCCAGCTTCTAGGCGCTAGATGAAAGAGCCCTGTACCATGAGAAATTGCCTCCTGATGTAGGCCCAACATGTCAGCAACAGCAGTGTGCAGGAGGTCAGATTAGGTGATCACAGTAGACCCTTCTGACCTTAAAGGCTGAGTCTATGTCACCTCTTAACCTTCTCTTCTATAAACTAAATAGTTTGTGCTTTTTCAGTGTCTTCCTGTGAGGCAGGTTTTCCAGACCATGAGTTGCTCTTGTGAACCCTTTTTCTGAACCCTTTCCAATTTATCAACATCCTTTTTGAAGTCTGGACACCCCAACTAGACAAGGTATTCAATAATGGTCTCACTGATGCTATTACTCCCCCTCCCTGCTCCTACTTGATACTTCCCTGTTTATATATCCACGATCACATTTGCCCTGTTGGACACCACATCACACTGGAAGAGCCTGTTTGGTTCAGTGTACAGTAGGGTGGGCTGGATTATATTGTCAGTTGATAGATTATAAACCCAGAAAAACCCACTGTGATGATCTAGTCTGACCTCCTGTATTACATGGGCCATAGGACTCCTCTTGAGTTAATTCCTGTTTGAACTGGAATAGATGTTTTAGCAAAACATCCAATCTTGATTTAGAAATTGCTGTCACAGTCCTGGTAAATTGTTCCCTTGTAAAAACTTGCATCTTATTTCCAATCTGAATTTGTCTAATTTCAGTTTCCAGACACGGCATCATGTTACATGTCTGTCTGCTAGATTGAAAAGCCCTCTACTATCAAACCTCTGTTTCCTATGTAGATATACATAGATTGTCACCTCTTAATTTTCTCTTTGTTAAGGTAAACAGAGACTCAAGGAGCTCAATTGCTATCATCTTTCCAGCAGTTTTAGTGATAGCTTTCATTTCTCCAGGACTCTTTATGGCATGGAAGGCCCCAGAGCTTTGAGGTAAGGGAGATGTTTTGTGGGGTGGGGCGGGGCAGGGCAGCAGTACCTGTGCATTGTTTCCTTGCCCCCTCCGCTCCACTGCTTAAGGGAAGATGCCTCCCCATGCATTCTGTAAATATACATTGCCCTGAGAAAACAAATCAGGGATTTCTGCTCCAGACAGGAAATTGACTAGTGAAGCCCTGGCTCCTTCTACCACTCGGCTACATGGACCATATTCTGGACAGCAGTGACTCTCTGAATAGGACTTAGGGTTTGTGGTGGAAACCAACTGAACATGAGCTCCCAGTACAAGGCTGTGACTAAGAGAGCGAATATGATCCTTGGATATATAAGCAGAGGGATATTGAGTAAGAGCAAGAATGTGGTATTTCCCTCTGAATACAGCATTAGTGAGACCATCGCTAGATGCTGTTTCCAGGACTGGTGTTCACACTTCAAATCGGATGGTGACAAATTAGAAAGGGTTTGGAAAAGAGCTACAAGGATGATCTGGAAAGCCTACCTTAAAATGAAAGACTGAAGGAGATTTATCTATTGAATATGTCCAAGAGAAGGCTAAGATTCCCGTCTGTAGGCACCTATGTGGGGAGGGGATTTCTGATAGCAGAGGGCTCTTTAATCCATCAGACAAAGGCAGAATGAAATCCAATGGCTGGGAGCTGAAGGAAGAGAATTCAGGGTAGAAATAAGACACAGATTTTAAACGGGAGGGAACATCTCCCCTTGGGATGTGTTGGATTCTAGATTGCAGAGAGTCTGTAAATCATCCTGGAGCGTCTCCCCTGAAAAGCTATGCTCTAGCTCAGCCAGATGCAGGAATCACTGAGATTTTCTAGCCAGGATTATATAGGAAGCCAAACCGGATGGGCCCTTCTGACCTGAACATCTCTGAACAGTATAGTAGTCCCTGGAGATCGGAGCCATGCTGTGCGGGATGCTGTACAAACACAGAGCGAGGGGCAGGCCCTGCCCCAATTTAAGGCCCTGATCCTGCAAGGACTTACGCATCTGTGAGTAGTTCATTGACTTCAGTGCCTAAAATTAAGCATGCGTGTAAGTCTTTGCTGGATCAGGACCTCAAGATGAGACAGACAAAGGCTGGGTGGGGAAACAGAGACTAACAGAAGAAAAGAAACTTGCCCATGGCAGGTCGGCAGCAGAGCCAGGAAGAGAACCCAGGAGGCCTGGATTCCAACGTAGTGTTCTGTCCACTAGACCACGCTGCCTCATTTGAATGGAGCAAGGTCATTTTATGCCAGCTGAGGATCTAGCCTCTTGAAGCACACATGACGGTTTCTTCAGAGACCCTGTTTTGGGGGTTTATAGTATGCTCAGGTAGTCCATTCCATAAAGATCCATCATCTAAGAGTTAGTCACTGGAAGAGACCAGCTTTGGGGCCTGTTACAGGGCTATCATCTAGTCTTACCTCCTGTACATCACAGGCCAGAGAATTTTTCCCAGTTCCACCTGTGTTGAGCCAAATCGCTTGTGTTTGGCTAAAGCATTTTCCAAAAAGGTCTCCAGCCTGGATCTGGAGACAACAAGAGATGCACAATCCACTACTTCGTTTGGGAGTCTGTTCCAGTGGGTAAGGCACACATTTATACCAGTGAGGGTGATTATTTCTTATTGGAATTCAACTGGCTTCCGCTTCCAGCCAGTGGTTCTTGTTCCAGCCAGTGGTTCTTGTTCTGCCTGTCTCTGCTAGAGTAAAGAGTCCTTTAGTACCTGCTATTTTGTCCCGTGAAGGTCCTGCTGCACCATAATCATGTAATCACTCAATCTTCTTTTTGGATGAGACTGAGTTCATTAAGGCTCTCCCTCAAAGGCCCTCAAATAATTTTTTTCCCTGTCAAACTAACCCAATTACTTTCTTTCATGAGATTACAAGTTTGATATAAGTCTGTGTTGATTTAATATACTTAAACCTCTGTAAGGTATTTGACTAGGTACTGCAGGACACTTTGATTAAGAAACTAGAACAATACAAAATCAACATGGCACACATTAAATGGATTAAAAGTCTGCTTACTGATAGGCCTCAAAATATAATTGTATAGGGGGAAGGTGTGTTTCCAGTGGCCCCTGCAGGGACTGGTTCCTGGCCCTGCACTATAACATTTTTATCAATGACCTCGAAGAGAACATAACAGCATCACTTATAAAGTCTGCAGATGACGAGGACAGGTCACTGATGCAGAGCGATCTGGATTGCTTGGTCAGCTGGGCACAAGCAAACAATATGCATTTTAATATGGCCAGATATAAAGTCAGACATCTGGGAACAAAGAATATATGCTGTGCTTACGGGATGGGGGACTCTATCCTGAGAAGCAGTGACCCTGAAAAGATTTGGGTGTCATGATGGACAATCATTCAGACATGAACTCCCAGTGCAATGCTGTGCCTAAAAGGGTTAATGTGATCCCTGAATGTATAAATGGGAATATAGAATCGGAGTAGACTGGTTATATTACCTTTGTATTTGGCACTGGTGCAACTGCTGCTGGAATCTTGTGTCCAGTCCTGGTGCCAACAATTCAGAAAGGATGTTGATAAATTAGCAAAGGTTCAGGGAAGAGCCACAAGAATGAGGAAAGGATTAGAAAACACGCCTTATAGTAACAGACTCCAGGAACTAAATCTAGTGAGCTTAACAAAGAGGGTGACTTGAACACAGTCTATAAGTCCTTAAGTGGGGAACAGAAATTTAATAACAGAGAGCTCTTCAATTTAGCAGAGAAGAGGCAATGACTGGAAACTGCAGTTAGCCTTGTCTATACTGCAAAGTTTTTGTTTGTTTTTGGCCAAAAGGCAGCTTTTGGTGATGAAACAGTACTGCAAGGCCACTTTTGGTAACAAAACTCTTCAGTTTTGGTGACAAAATAAAATCACCTAAACGAGAGTCATATGGCTTTTTATGCAAAAGTATTGTTGCCAAAGTGCCAGTGTAGACACCGCGCTTGATTTTTATCACTTTAATTGGCCTCCAGATGGTGTCCCACAATGCCCATCCTGACTGCTCTGGTCAGCAGTTCCAATTCCACTACCCTGCAGCCAGGTAAGCAACTGTCTGCCCCTCCTCCTTTAAAGCCCTGGGAAATTTTGAAATTCCACTTCCTGTTTGCTCGGTGTGGAGAGCTCATATCTTCCCAGCTGACCATGGCGGTTCCATGCGGCAAACACTCTCCTGCTTGGACCAATGTGGATCTGCTGGATCTGCTCAGTATTTTGGGAGAGGAGGCTGTGCAGTCACAGCTGCATTCCAGCCATAGGAATTTCAATACCAAGTGGTGGATTTCTCAAAGCTTGTGCAAAAAGGGCTGTGCTTTTTGGGACATGCTGCTGTGCACAGCAAAGGTCAAGGAGCTGAGGCACGTGTATCGGAAAGCAAGGGAGGCAAACCATCACTCCAGTGCCGCTGTTTTGATAAGGAGTTGGACGCTATCCTCGGCAGCGACCCCACTTCCCCCACCCAAGAGCCCCATGGATACTTCGATGGAGCTGGCAGAAAGTGGACCTAACCCAGAGAATGAAGTCATTGATGAAGAAGTGGAGGTAGCTGACAATGTGGAGCACACAGTAGGGTCGCCTGGTGGTGCGTCCAGTCAGGAGCTATTCTCCACTCCGGAGGTATCTAGCCAGTCTTGGCAGTCACACTGCAGTGAGCAAGAAGCAGGAGCAGAGACTCCGATAGGTGGTTTTGCTTTGTGAAATGCTGAGGTGGGTTGAGGGTATAGAAATGGCTATGTTTCTGTGTGCTGGACATTTCCCTGTGCAGCTATGCACATTGTGATTTCACAGGAATCCTCCAGAGAGATCTCAAGGAAACTTTCCTGGAGGTACTTGGCAATCCTCTGCTGAAGGTTTCTTGGCAGAGCTGCTTTGTTCCTTGCCCCATTGAAGGAAACTTTTCCGCGCCGTTCTGCAATCACTTGTGCAGGGACAAAGCGGCACCCAGGTGAGCAGCATAGGGATCGGGGCAGAAGCCCACAAGAGTGTAGTAGATGCACCCTTGCTTCCCTGCTTACCCTCAGGAGTGAGATATCTGGTACAACCACCACCTGTGGAAAAGGTTGTGAAAATTTAGAATATTGTTCCTAGTCGACTGTACCACGACCCTTTCATATTGATTTTCTCCCCATGTACAATGTCCCCCGCCCTGAAGTATACTCACGACGCTTGGGGTGTTGTCCGGTGTTCGCCAGCATTTGGTCAGTGAGAAAGCGATTGGTATGTTACTTAGGAGTATTTTACTGTACTGTTTCAATGCTGTGCTCATACTTAATCATGCTTCTGTGTATTGTTCCTTGTGTTTCTGCAGATGTGGCCTTCAGAGGCATCCCCTACACACCGGCAGAGTGCTTCCACCAGATAAGAAAGCATCCAAGATGGAGCAAAGAAGACATGTTCCAGGAGGTGCTGCAATACTCAGATGCAGAAAAGAGGGAACGCAGGCAGTGAAGGGAAATGGAAAGGTTGGACAGAAAAGAAAATGAGGCTTTCATTGGGGATGCAATGGAGAGGATGATTAAAGTTATGGAGAAGCAAACTGAGATGCTACAAAGAGAAAAGGAGTGCTTGTGGCACCTTAGAGACTAACCAATTTATTTGAGCATAAGCTTTCGTGAGCTACAGCTCACTTCATCGGATGCATACTGTGGAAAGTACAGAAGATCTTTTTATACACACAAACCATGAAAAAATGGGTGTTTACCACTACAAAAGGTTTTCTCTCCCCCCACCCCACTCTCCTGCTGGTAATAGCTTATCTAAAGTGATCACTCTCCTTACAATGTGTATGATAATCAAGTTGGGCCATTTCCAGCACAAATCCAGGTTCCCCCCCATACACACACACACACAAACCCACTCTCCTGTTGGTAATGGCTTATCTAAAGTGATCACTCCCCTTACAATGTGTATACGTTAGATAAGCCATTACCAACAGGAGAGTGGGTTTGTGTGTGTGTGTGTGGGGGGGGGAACCTGGATTTGTGCTGGAAATGGCCCAACTTGATTATCATACACATTGTAAGGAGAGTGATCACTTTAGATAAGCTATTACCAGCAGGAGAGTGGGGTGGGGGGAGAGAAAACCTTTTGTAGTGGTAAACACCCATTTTTTCATGGTTTGTGTGTATAAAAAGATCTTCTGTACTTTCCACAGTATGCAGCCGATGAAGTGAGCTGTAGCTCTCAAAAGCTTATGCTCAAATAAATTGGTTAGTCTCTAAGGTGCCACAAGTACTCCTTTTCTTTTTGCGAATACAGACTAACACGGCTGTTACTCTGAAACCTGAGATGCTACAGTCCCTCCTAATGCTCCAGACTGAGCAGATGCATGCCTGCCCTTCCCTTCAACACATTCAGAACTCTTTCCCATGCCCTGCCCAAACTCCACCCGCAAATTCCTTTCCGCTGTTTGGGACTTCTTGCTTTCCTGTTCACGCCATCTCCATGGACACCTTTTCAGATGATAGCTGGACTTACACACAGCTCTGAAAGTCAGCCCTCCCCTGGTACCTCCTCTCCTCCCAAGCGCGTGTGTGTGCTGGCGTAGTTTTTTGTGCAATAAAAGCAAAGTTTTTTGAATGAGAAGCACTCTTTATTTGTTTCCTGGAAATTGTGACAGCAGATGGAAGCAACATGTAAACAAGCAATTTAATCATTTGCTCACATTGAGTCCTAGGCCACAAAAATCACAAGTAGTTCCTTGCAAAACTTGATTTCATTAAGCATTGTAGTCCAGCGCATAGCAACATACATTACTGGTTCTCACCTTTAGTGTTGTCTCAAAGTCTCCCTGATTTCAATTGCTTCCCACTGTGCCCCTCTAATAGCCCAGGTATCTGGCTGCTCAAATGCAGCAGCGAGGTGGTCTGCCTCAGCAGTCCACCCATGAGCAAACTTTTCACCCTTACCTTCACAAATATTGTGCAGTGTGCAACATGCAGCTATGATCATGGGAATATTATCTTAATTGAGCTCTAACCTGACATAAAGGCATTGCCAGCATGCCGTTAATCTGCCAAATACACATTCCATGATCATCCTGCCCCTACTCAGCCTATTGTTGAACCGCTGCTTACTGCTATCTAGGTTTCCAGTATAAGGCTTCATGAGCCATGGCATTAAGGGGTATGCTGGGTCTCCTAGGATCATTATGGGCATTTCAATATCCCCTACTGTAATCTGGCCTGGAAAGAAAGCCCCTGCTTGCAGCTCTCTGTACAGGCTGGTGTTCCTGAAGATACAAGCGTCATGGAACGCTGGGATGGAAAGCAATGGATGGAAACCAATGCATCGTGGGACAATGAGCCCGGACCCATGATGCACTGCAATCCACTCTGCTTTCCCACAAGACCTAGCAGCGGAAGGTGGAGAGCTGAACTGTGGGATAGCTCCCCACAGTGCATTGCTTTGTCGAAGCTACTGCCCCGAGTGGGGACACGCTTTGCTGACAGAGGAAAAGAACATGAACATGAAACAAATTTCTTTTAGCACTTTTTGATCATTGACAAAACTTTTGGTGAAAAAACTCTGCCAGTGTAGACATGGCCTGAGATTGACTAGAAATAAGGTGTGAACTTTTAACAGGTTTCAGAGTAACAGCCATGTTAGTCTGTATTTGCAAAAAGAAAAGGAGTACTTGTGGCACCTTAGAGACTAACCAATTTATTTGAGCATAAGCTTTAGTCACTTTTGAAAATCTTGTCCACACTATGTTCGAATGTGTATGATAAATGCCTAATTAAAGAACGATACAACACATTTTCCGATGAAGTGAGCTGTAGCTCATGAAAGCTTATGCTCAAATAAATTGGTTAGTCTCTAAGGTGCCACAAGTCCTCCTGTTCTTTTTGCGAACTTTTAACAGTGAGCGTAATTAACCACAGGGACAATTTCCCAAGGGTCATGATGGATTCTACTCCTCTAGCAGTTTTTAAATCAAGGTTGGATATTTTTCTTAAAGATCTGATCTAGTTCAAACAGGCATTAATTCAAGGCAGTCCTGTGGCCTGTGATACAGAAGGTCAGATGAGATAATTGCAGGGTCTCTTCTGGCATGGCAATCTATGAACATCTCAAATGTCTCCTGGCACCCCCACCTGCCCCCTGCTGCAGCTCCACCCCCTACCCACCTCCCCCAAATCCACCCCACCCCCTGCCCTCCTCCCCCAGCTCCACCCCCACCTGCCCCTCTCCACCACCTGTCCCCTGCCCCACCCCCTGCCCTCCTCCCCAGCTCCACCCCCACCTGCCCCCCTGCTCCCACCTGCCCCCTGCCTCTGCTCCAACCCCTGACCTCCTCCCCTAGCTCCACCCCCTCTGCCCCCACCTGCCCTAGCTCCATTCCCACCGAGGGTACAGGGTGTGTATGTAACCAAGGTTACATGTACACGTCAAGAAGGGGTCAGGTTGCGCGGGTAGGAGCCGGGACTGAGTCTCCTGTCCGCCCTGTGAGGCGGTCCTGGCGGAGGGATCCCTCTGCGCCTGCGCTCTCAGCTTTACCTGCCCCCCCCCCCCCAACTCCGGCGAGTTCCCTCCCAAGAAGGCACATGCGCAGAGAGAGTGGTGTTTGCTCCCGCCCCCGAGCTACGTGACTCCCTACGCATGCGCAGAAGCTGAGGGCCGCCGGAAGGTTCCCTGAAACGCATAGCGGGCCCAGAGACCCCGCCTCACCTCGCGCATGCGTACGGAGGCGGCGCCGTTCCGTCCCTTCCGCCCCGTGGTGCGGCGCTTGCGCAATAGCCGCGAATGGGCTTTTTACCCCGGCGGAAGGATCGAGAAGTTAGCGCTTTTGCTATCACGTGGTACGACTCATCACTGCGGTGCGGATGTGCCCGGCTGGCGGGGCCGTCGGCGCAGGCGCACTGAGCTGGTTTCGCCGCCGCGCTGCCCCTTCTCCTCTCGGTCCACCCAGGCTCATTGTGCGGAGGGAGCCAGCGAGGAGACCGCTCCGGCCGCGTCCTGCCCGCCCGCCCCTCCCCCGCGGCCCGCGCGCGCCGCTCGCCAACGGCAGCTCCGACCGCCTCGCGCCCGCCCGCCCTCGCTCGCGCGCGCGCGCCCGCCCGCCGGGTGGCTGATTCGCTCGCGCCCGCCCCGCTGGGGTTGACCGGGGCCGCGCCGGCGCCGCCATGTTGAAGCAGCCGCAGCCGCTGCCCCCGCCGGGCGGCCCCGGGCCCCAGGCCGGGCCCCCGCCCGCCCGCAAGGCCCCGCCGCCGGGGGCCGCCCCCAGCCCCAACGGCAGCCTCAGCCCCAGCGGCGGGGCGGGGCGGGCGGCGGCGGCGGCCCCGGGCGGGGGCGGCGGCGGCCCCGGAGGAAGCGGCGGCGGCACCAGGTAACAGCGGGGCTCTGGAGGGAGGGGGTCACCCCTCCTCGTGCGCGGGCCGGGGGGGCCGCCGGGAGGGTCCCGGGACTGCGCGCGCCCGGAGGGGGCCGCGCGAGCGTGGTGCTGATTGGCCGGTGCTGCAGCCAATCCCCGCCCGGCGGCGCGAGGGAGAGGGAGACCCCTCCCCAAAGCTCTGGCGGCGCGGGGTTGGGACCCAGGCGTCCGGGCTGCCCGCCTGGTGAGCCTGTGGGGCCCCTGGCGGGGGCGGGGGCGCGGGCGCGGGCGCGGGCCCGGGGGCGCGGCAGTTCTGTAACTCTCTCTCCCCGTGGTTTGTTTCAGGGGGCAGAGCACAGGGAAGGGGCCTCCCCAGTCTCCAGTAAGTACCTGCGGCCCTGCCTAAGGGGGGGGGGGAACCTCATGCTGGTCTTCCAGGGGGGCCAGGCTGTCTGTTGCACTGACTTCCTGATCAAGAGCCTCTTCTCCTCCGCAGCAGCCGGGGTGGCTGGGCAGGCCCTTCCTCTTTCTTGAGAACATGGCATGGGCTGGGGATGGCTTGTGCTGGCCTCCGCTAACGCCTCGGACAATATAGTCTCCATACTGCTCTTCCCAAGGCCTCCGCTGGACTTTCCTGGCATTTCTTACTGTCTGCATTGTAGTGGCAATGCAAGTTTAGATGTTTCCCAAAAGCGTGTGCTAGAGAAGAGAGGGACCTGACCTGCCACCCAGCACTCTGACCTTTAACTGCTTCCCTGTGGCCCAGATCATAATGAGTGTGTCTCTTAGTTTTTTGGTAGCACTAGCTTCCCTTGGATCTCAAGGGACACCAGTGTGACAGGGGTCCGCAGTGAGCCAGCCAGTTCCTTTGGGGCCTGGAGCAAGATGGAGCCAGACGGGTGTCATTCCTCACCCCCTGAGCCAGTCAGTCCAGATTGGAACTAGTGCCCTCTGGAGGGGGAAAGTCCCATATCTCCTGAGCCAATTTATTCCTACAACCCAGGGCCAGATTGGAACTCTAGAGGTGAAAGGTCCCATAATTGCCTTCTCAATCCCCAGGGGGTATCTGCTTTTAAATTGGTCCCTCCCCTTCACTCAAAGTATGCAGCTGAACACCTCCCCACTGGCTTCCCATCACTGGGAGGGCGGGGTGTTCGGCTCTGAAAAGCTCCTTTAGAAGAGATGTTCTGCTTCAGGTTCATGGTCATGATGCCCAAATCTAGTCTGCTCTTGTCCCAAGCCCAAGGATGTGTTCTCTGGTTCCCTGAAGTTGGATCCTCTGCCTTGTGTGTTGGCAGTACCAAA